TGCAGCAAGTGAAGGCAATTTTGATGAAGAACTTATTGAGGGTAGGTGTTCATTCAATCATTTCAAAGTGAGGGAAAATTTACATAACATTAGTAACCCAGAGACCTCCTGTATGATTCTGTAAAAGATAATTGACAATGAAAATACTTTTAACATTTATAGTGCTAGCAATAGCAGCATTCATAATTTGCTGACATTTTCACATACCAGCCACTGTGCTGGCTTTATATGTTTTCACAATTTTTGATTTACCTATCCCCATTTTATTGATGAGAAAACTGAGGCAAAGATGTAGAACTAGCAAGTTTTTCAAAGTCACATAACTAATAAGTGGTAACCAAAAATTCAAACCTAGTTCTACCTGAATTCAAAATCTATACCTTTAAACTGTAGGTCATGTGTTATTGAACATAGACCATGACTGTGGGATTGTGTGAGTATGTACAGGGATATTAGAATAATGCAAGAATGGGAGGAGATATTTCTCAGGCAATGAAAATTGAAGATTATCTTTTCATCTCAGGAGCTGAATAACTCTAAAAGAGATTAAATCAAAGCTTTCCTGACCAAGTGGTTTTGAAAATTAGTATTTAATATTCCCACTCGCCCAACTCAGGAAACATACCTCAGATAATAACTTCTACAAACTTACTTCCCTCTACCCCACCACCAATGAATGAATAAGAGAAGCATTGAAACATCTTTTCATATCAGTTATTAGGGTTGTTCCCAGAAAATTGCTCTTTTCCAGTGGTTGTTAGTAGGGCTCTTGAAGATATCTCTTCTTCCCAACAGACTAATATGTTTTGTAAGCAATGAAACAACTTAACTTTCTTTAAAGTGAATTTTGAGTTTTACTGATTTCTTATTGGGTTCACTGACAAAATAAGTTAATCAATTCTATGCTGCCTGCCTAGTAGTCATTATTCAGTTCTGAATAATTGTTAAAAACACAAATTCCTTGTGTATTTATAGGGCTTTAAATCTGCTGTTGAAGTCTCTCTTGGGCCGCAAATTTGACAGGAGGGCTTTGAAACAAAAAAGTTCCTATAGTGCCTCCATGGGAGATAAGATGGAGTCCAGATGCTTTACCCAAGGATAGTCCAGGCTCTGCTTAAAACACCACATGGTACCTTTGCTTAATTTCTATGAGGCTTTTTATTGGTAGCATAGTGTCTAAGGCATTGGACTGCTAACCAGAAGGCTGGCGGTTCAAACCCACCTGCCACTCTTCAGTAGGCAGGTTGGGCAATCTACTTCCTTAGTGATGCCACCTCTGAAACCCAAGGAGGGGTCGCTATGATCCGACTCAACGGCACATAACAACAACAACAACAAGATGGGAGTAACCTTCCCTGGGTTTCCGAGGCAGTATCATTATGTTAAGTAGATTGCCCCGTCTTCCTTCCAAGGAGTATTAACTGTGAAAGACTTTTTCTCACAAACAAAACCATTGGAACCTGGTTGGCTCTGTTGGTGAATTTCACATACTTGAACATATCCCTTGTTCATTTACAGGACCATTTGATAGAATATACAGCACTAAATGGACTATTTGACTGTTGTTGTTCTTAGGTGCCATTGAGTTGTCTCTGACTAATGGCAACCCCATGTACAACAGAATGAAACACTGCCTGGTCCTGTGCCAACTTCACAATCCTTGCTATACTTGAACGCATCATTGTAGTCACTGTCAATCCATCTCATTGAGGGCCTTCCCTGTTTTCGTTGACCCTCCACTTTACCAAGCATGATATAATATTGAGATTCTATGTACATATTTAGATGTTTTATTATACTTAATCTTGCATTTCAAGGAGTTTGTAGTGAGAGATATTTCACATTTCTAGGATAAATGGAAAATGAAAGACTTTTAGAAAAATATAGTACTTCAAAGAAATTTGGCAAGATTTTCAGTTACCTAGGGCACTAATCTATATGGGGTGCTAAAACTTCACTGCAGATGTAATATAGAAAATTATGTGAGCAGCTCCCCCAATATATATGGTTGGAAGGGATATTCTGATAAATAGCTTGGCTGACCAAGTAAGACCCCATGGGGAATACTGGAAAAACAGTAGTCTCCAAACTGGCTTTTTGACATTTGCTTCAAGTTAGAAGCAGGCTTTTGTTTTTTTCAAAGCTGAATTAATGAGACTGAAAAATCCTGAATTCAAAATACATAAATCAAAATTTGTCAAAATTATATTGAAACATTTGCCTATCAACATCTAGTGACATATTTTAACTAGCTTCTAACAAAAATTGATGGATTGGGCTTACAAATAATTACTTGACATAAAAGTCAAATGAATGGAACTGAATATTAGTCTTTCAGAAAGATTTATATGTTAAAATATATATTGTATGTGATAAAATGATGTACCAGTCAGTATTCAAATGGAGAAACAAAATCAAATCAAAACCAAACCCACAACCATAGAGTTGATTTTGACTCATAGTGACATATAAGACAGAATTGCCTCAGAGGGTTTCTAAGGCTATAAATCTTTGTGGAAGCAGACTCCCACATCTTTCTCTCATGGTGGCTGGTGGGCCCGAACAAATGACCTTTGGGTTAGCAGCCAAGTGCTTAACTACCTTACCATGAGGGATCCTTGAAAAGGAATCAGTAGGAGATAAATACATAGAAAGTCATGTGAGAAACTGATTTATGGGATTGTATAGCCAACTAGTCAAGTCTGAAATCCATAAGGCAGACTATCAGGAAGAGTAGTCTGGAACAAATTCCTTTTCTTCAGGGGAGCCACTCGTAAGGTTTTTCAACTGATTGAATCTGGCTGACCCAGATTATGTAGGGTAATCTTCGCTACTTAAGGTCATTTGATTGTGGATTCCAATCTCATCTACAAAATGCTATCATAGCAACACTTAGATTAATGTTTGATTGAATAACTGAGGACTGTAGCCGCACCAAATGATACAGAAAATTGACCATCAGTGATGGTGATGGCCTTTCAAATCAGTTGATGGAGACAGTATTGGCATAATTGTCCATCCATTTTAATAAAAAACAACAACAAAATCTTTACTTTACATAATATAAAAGAGTATATTCTTCACAAACTAAAACTATTATTTCAGAAAATAACACTAGGAAAGGCATAGAATGTGATGACTAGATAGACATTTCTTCCCAGGGCTCCCTCTCTGTGAATGCTTTAATATCCCAGAAGAACTCTGCAATTCTTCTGTTTATGTCATCAACAACAGTGGCTAAGAAAAGACACAAAATATTAACAAATATCATATCAGTTACATGTTAACTAAAAGACAAATCCAGATGAGTGAGAGCCTACTTGAGGCGTGACAAAGCCCTTTTGTTCAAAAATATCTCTTTGCCACTTTGTTGTTGATGGTGGACCTATATTTCCTTTGTGTTAAGCACTGCTTTACTAGATCAGCTTTATTGGATCTTTCAACAGTTGTTTTTGTGTGTGTCCCTTCCATGTGCCAGGTACTATAGTGGGCTCTGTAGATACACAATTAAAACGTCAATAATAACAAAAGCAACAGCAGCACCACTGGCAGCATTTTCAGTCCATGTCTTCATGGATATTCCAGTCTATTTAATAAAGTTAGAAACTTCTTAACAAGACAGCAAATATGATATTGTGTTGTAAATAGCTTAGTGTGGGTAAATTTATCAATTGTCTTCCCTAACAATACTATTATTGTGCTATTTATTGAAAACAACTGCCACTTGACATTGACGGATCCTTTTTAATCATCACTTAAAACACCACCTCCTATTAGTTGTTGTTGTTGTTACCTGCCATCAAGTCGGACCTGACTCATAGCGACCCCTCCTTGGGTTCCGGAGGGGTATCACTACGGAAGTAGATTGCCCCATCTTCCTTCTGAGGAGTGGCTGGTGGGTTTGAACCGCCAGCCTTCTGGTTAGCAGTCAAGTGCCTTAGGCACTATGCTACCAGAGCTCCTCCTCCTATTAGTAGTAAGTTAGAATTCTCCTTAATACTGAGTTTTAATCATTTTCCATGCTAAAAAAAAAGAAAAAACTGCAAATATGTAAATTTTTATAAGATATAAGCATCATTTTCCCAATATTTTATTTATTGCTTATTTAGGCTCAAATATTTAGAGCAATTCAGATTAGTGGAAAAACCGAGATAGATTATATTTTATTTTTATTAAGATTGTTCATCTCCTTGATGATTAAGGATTTCTCGATATATAAAAACAAAAAAGTCACATGGTCTTTTGAAAACTGTCTTTTATTTTCCATAATTTGTGTGTTAATGAGCTACTTTGAGGTTTAGTTTAGAAGAAAGTTGTTTTTGTCAAAAATTTCAGAGTTGTGATCCATGGAGACTTTTTAGTCTACCTGTACTATGTGTACTCACTTAAATAAGTTGTTAGGTCATCACTGTGAATAATACTATGTGTCCAAACTATCAAAGATACTGGTTTTCTTCATACTCTACTGTGAAAGCTAATGCAAAACAAAGTTTGTTTTGTGATGGTTTTGAGAGACAAAAACCCTAGTATTTTCTGCTGAAGTAAAAAGTAGCTTTGGATTCTTCTTTCTTGGCCCAAAGAAAACATAATCACTGACCTTGAATGAATGATGGAGACATAAATTTTCAGACTGACTCGTCTTGATTTATGGGCAGGGCTTCTCTGGACTGTGAGGAAAAATGATCCTTGCTCTTTTTTGATTATTTCTTCATCATTCATATTTTATATTCTGCATCTGCCCTGAGGCTATTTTCAAGGATACTTAAAAAAAGAAAAATGAGAAAAAATAAATGAGAATATATGAAAAATAATTTGATTTTTTGCTGTGATATCCCTACTCTTTTGACCAAAATAACAATAATTACCACAACAATCATAAAACAACATAAAACATGTCTACTATTGTTGAAATTTTACTAAAACTTTTGAAAGCAGCTAAAACTACTTATTATTCAGTTTTTTTTTTTTTTTTTTTTAACCTCTGGATAATTCCTTTATAGGATTGGAGAAAGGAAGTCAGTACAGTTTCCAAGTGTCAGCCATGACAGTGAATGGCACTGGACCACCTTCCAACTGGTACACAGCAGAGACCCCAGAAAATGATCTTGATGGTAAGGCCCATCCCCAGTCACTACTGCTCTGATATTTGTTATTTCAGCTTCCAAGTATTCTTAAACAGTTAATAAACAGCAACATTGGGTACATATATTTCTTCTATATCTTCAGAGGTGGAAAAAAATTAATGATTATAGAGTCTACAGCAATGCCATATAAATATAGATACTCCATTAATGGAGTGGCATTAACTGGACATTACTTATGGTCTTCATAACAAGTTACTTTGGTTTTTACAGCACAGCCTGAAATGAGATTTGTATTTATTTTATTCTGAGCAATGAATCTTAATCATTTTCTTCATAGGTATGACTAAAATTTCTGATAAAAGCAAGCAATGTTATTATGTTATATAATTTAAGATGTTTCCAGAAAATGTCAGTAGATATTTTTTACTTGCTTATGACATAGTCATTAGTATTTGACATGATATTTTCTTGATATAAAGGACAAACTGTTTGGTTAATTAATGGTTGGCTTGAGAAATTCATAGAGGAAATATTCAGATTCATATAAAAGTCACATATCAATAGATTAAATATAATATATAGCTCTGTTGTTGTTGTTGTTATTTGCCGTCGACTTGGCCCCGACTCACAGCGACCCCTCCTTGGGTTTCCAAGGCAGTATCACTACGGAAGTAGGATTGCCCAACCTTCCTTCCGAGGAGTGG